ATTGATGATGTCACAGTGTATGCTGAGGTGACTAATGACGTCACAGTACATCTTGTTATGGATGGCATAACAGCGTATCTCGTGGTGACAGCTGGATTTTTATCATGGCACTGTCTGGAATGTCACTATCCGACGTATGCTGACTGCTGGCATCGCAGTATATGTTATTTGGATTGTCTGAATGTCACAACCCGACGTATGCTGACTGATGACATCGCAGTAAATGCTATTGGGATTGTCTGGAATGTCACAATCCGACGTATGCTGACTGATGACATCGCAGTATATGCTATTGGGATTGTCTGGAATGTCACAATCCGACGTATGCTTACTGATGACATCGCAGTATATGTTATTGGGATTGTCTGGAATGTCACTATCCGATAATTGCTGACTGATGACATCGCAGTATATGCTATTGGGATTGTCTGGAATGTCACTATCCGACATATGATGACTGATGACAACGCAGTATATGTTATTTGGATTGTCTGAATGTCACAACCCGACGTATGCTGTCTGAGGGCATGGCAGTATATGTTATTTGGATTGTCTGGAATGGCACTATCCGACGTATCCTGACTGATGACATCTCAGTATATGTTATTGCGATTGTCTGGAATGTCACTCTCCGACGTATGCTGAATGATGACATCGCAGTAAATGCTATTGGGATTGTCTAGAATGTTACTATCCAAATGAATCAAGCACGTCATGAGATGCCGTAACAACTCACGTGACATGCAAAATGAAATCCCACGTCTAGACCATCTACATGTTTCTATATGTGTTACTTAATTAAGGATTTTCGAAAGAAACAAGATGGTTGTATTTCTGAGCTGTTGTCCATTGTACTTTTCATCTGTTGATTTAGTTAATTATTGGCGCCATTAATAACAGAAGTACTACAGTGTATCGTGTACTGTTCAGTTAAGGTTCGTATGGAGATGCATGGCATCTTATCAACGGTGCGTCCAATCAAAACGGCGTTGACCTATCTTGATGACGGTAATCATTTGAGGATTAATACTTGATGTTTGTAATGAAAGCCAATGTTTTACAATACGTCATATAACATGCACATTATAACCAGAACATTTCAATGAAGTGCCATTCCTTGGCTTTAGCCATGTATTATATATAAATAGAGAGGCGCTAAACTCAATACATCAAACGTCTGCGCAATTGTTCCTTTGTATCTTGTGCTAATAGATGATGTCACAGTGTATGCTGAGGCGACTAATGACGTCACAGTACATCTTGTTATGGATGACATAACAGCGTATCTCGTGGTGACAGCTGGACGTATGATGACTGATGACAACGCAGTATATGTTATTGGGATTGTCTGGAATGTCACTATCCGACGTATGCTGACTGATGACATCGCAGTAAATGTTATTGGGATTGTCTGGAATGTCACTATCCGATAATTGCAGACTGATGACATCGCAGTAAATGTTATTGGGATTGTCTGGAATGTCACTATCCGATAATTGCTGACTGATGACATCGCAGTAAATGTTATTGGGATTGTCTGGAATGTCACTATCCGACGTATGCTGACTGATGACATCGCAGTCAATGTTATTGGGATTGTCTGGAATGTCACAATCCGACGTATGCTGACTGATGACATCGCAGTATATGTTATTGGGATTGTCTAGAATGTCACAACCCGACGTATGCTGACTGATGACATCGCAGTATGTGTTATTGGGATTGTCTGGAATGTCACAATCCGACGTATACTGACTGATGACATCGCAGTATATGTTATTGGGATTGTCTGGAATGTCACAATCCGACGTATGCTGACTGATGACAGCGCAGTATATGTTATTGGGATTGTCTAGAATGTTACTATCCAAATGAATCAAGCACGTCATGAGATGACGTAACAACTCACGTGACATGCAAAATGAAGTCCCACGTCTAGACCATCTACATGTTTCTATATGTGTTACTTAATTAAGCATTTTCGAAAGAAACAAGATGGTTGTATTACTGAGCTGTTGTCCATTGTACTTTTCATCTGTTGATTTAGTTAATTATTGGCGCCATTAATAACAGTAGTACTACAGTGTATCGTGTACTGTTCAGTTAAGTTTCGTATGGAGATGCATGGCATCTTATCAACGGTGCGTCCAATCAAAACGGCGTTGACCTATCTTGATGACGGTAATCATTTGAGGATTAATACTTGATGTTTGTAATGAAAGCCAATGTTTTACAATACGTCATGTAACATGCACATTATAACCAGAACATTTCAATGAAGTGCCATTCCTTGGCTTTAGCCATGTATTATATATAAATAGAGAGGCGCTAAACTCAATACATCAAACGTCTGCGCAATTGTTACATACTGAACGCAGAGTTTTAGCGTCTCGACAAAAGTTTACATTTTCGTCGTCGCTATCTTTGCGTGAATCACGTTCATATTTAAGGCTTTAGTAATGCTGTTTTGCGCCTCTATTTACGCCGTACAATCGATGGGGCTAGACATGTTCTAATTGTATAACAGCGTAATTGTAACATTTTGAAAACAAATTCCTGTCTCCTATCATCATAACACGTATGTCTATAACGTATAGTTATCAGACTGTGTGACTCACAGCTGTTTACACAACACTTATTTAATTACTGAATGGTTATACATCACGTCTCAGACTTCCTACTGCTAAACTAGGGGGGCATATGATCATCCCTTATATCGATAACCTTGTTGTTGGCAGCGATTGTTATAACTTATCGCCCCTTATAGAACTCTTTTGATAAAAAGAACAAAAATACACTACCATCGATACCAAAAGGAAATAAAGCTAGTGTCAAATACCTTAATGTGCATATGTAGCATCGGAGTGTACGACTATAGAATCTGACGCATGGACGCGTTTTTGGCATGGTCCCAATTCTATTCTTAGGTTCCCTTATATGATGTTAGCTGACAAATCAACGTACAGTACACGTTATCTTTAATATATGTTCACGTTAAATATACGACTGTTTTTAAACATTATAAACTAAAATAAAAGAACATTCAATATGTGAATGTATTCAATGAAATTTCAACATAAATGTGATTTGAAAATGCCTTCTTCTAAATAAGAATTGTACAAGCCCGCGGGAATACTAGCCTACTTGATAGCTTCACACCGCCTGGCAGTGTCTTTTTCCCCGGTATCGATACGCTCGCCGCTATTGCAAACAAACCGCTGTGTTACTCCCACGCCTACACCACTTCTCTGCTCCTACTTTTAATGTTAAATTAGCTTTCAAAGAATACTCTATTGGTACTTGTATGAGTTCTCTTGGCTGACAAAAACAGTACGAATAAATGCTTTTAATATATAGGGGCCTTATAACTCATTTTAATAAATAAAAACAAAAAGGATCCGACTTGTATGAAAAAAGTCATCAGGATTTCTTACACGCTTGGGCAGTCAATTAACAAGTGACTCTGATTGTGATAGGACGGGTGCCGTTTGCTCTCTACCCAAGTCAGTGTTGTGAAATGATGTTAGCTAAATCACCCGAGAATACATGCCGCGTTCTGCTTATGAACCAATTACGGTTTCATTGACATCGCGTGGCGCTTCTGCCCGTTCAACAATCAGTATCAGCTAGGTGCTTTGCCCATGGTTGATTCCATTAACCAGACCGGAAGATCAGCCTGTTCCGGACTGTTCATTTTACTCGGTTTGGTTATTATCATTACGAAAGCCAGGGAACAATGTGCTTAAATAGTAACATCCTGTGGTAATAATATAAAACCGGAAAGTGAGGGCGGATTGGGAAGACCGGTTCTAACGTACGAGTCACTTGTTGGCCGGGAATCCTGATGGCTAGACCAGGCGACTGCCAGTGCCGTCATTACCCTCCAGGGACCGCTACAATGGCTGGTGGTGTCCGGGACTATTTATATGACAGACGCTCTAAATGTAATTAACACACGGAGGCACACATAATGAATAAACTGCAAATTGGAAATCCTCAGGTTATATATTGGATTGAAATAGATGTTATACATGTATTGATTATTGACTATTTATATAGATTTGATTGTAATCAGACTCATGGTCATTGTCATCACTGCTAACCCATCATCGTCATCACTGCTAACCCATCCCAGAAAGATATTGACATGGACAAACTCAAAAAGTCATTATAACGTTCAGTATGTATATGTCACTATTTTGCACAGATGTCTTACATGTGATGCGATTCATTTCCACACCGGTCTCGTAGTTTTACTTCATCATCGTTACCTTCTTTTTGAAATTCAACTGTAGAAATAGATTATTGGCCGTCATGATAAAATCCTGTAAGGTGCTGACGTGAGTGACGTCACGGGTACATTCGACTGAGGGGGTAGCAGTGAAGGCACGTGATCACTGCTGACGTATAACGCCTGCCTGCCTACTGTTACAGGCTAATTACAGACCCAGTACCAAAGTATGCCGTGTCGACAAAGGTGCAGCGATGAGCACCACGTACGGAAGTGTTGAAGGTGTGACCAACTGTTTACCATAACTAGTGTCGACGTCAGAGTGTTGCATACCTGAATGTGATTTATAGGAGGTACGGCGATATCTTTGGGTTAAAAAGTAACAAAGAAATGAAGCCGTTAGTACAAATCTGGACACGGCCTGACAGCTTTGTAATTGCATCAGATAAAATTAAAATCCTACAAGGTTGCGTGTAGAGAGCTTCTCACAATCTCTCATATATCGTTGCTGTCTTTGACTTATGGTACACATTCGTCTATAAAATTATGAGTGATCAGGGATGAAACGAATGTTCTAAATCGTTTGCATTGCTTTTGCTGCAGTGCCAAAGTCCTTCGGCGTTCTTGTTCATCATTCGGTTCGGGAACTTGAAGGAATGCCCCGCTATGTTACCGATTCGCTGGTTGATGATTTAGGGACGGTCTTAGAGATAATACCGGACAGTCTGTGATAGGTTCTACTTTCATTTTGTTGTAGATATGCAACAGTGTGGACTAGTTTATTGGTGTTGTCTGCTTCTAACACTAATCGTCGGACAATTCGGAATTACCTCGGGGTTTTACATTCCTCGGTTGAAAACATCGGGACCTCGCAGGGAACTCGACATAGCGGCACTTCGCTCTCGATTTCATGGTAAGTTATCATTTATTTTTTCACTGTTATCTTCTTACTATAACCGTCTAAGACAGTTGGCGAAGCATTTGACGAATATCATAAGTACACTCACCTGTGTTTAAATGTTCTCCCCAAGGCGCTAAGCTCTAACTGTAACCCATGTAAACAACATCAGATGCTATTTTCTGTAATGATCATGTTAAAACTGATAGTTTTATGGTTTAAAAGTTGATTCATGGGAATGCATATCGCCAATGTTATAATTTCGGAACAGCTATTGCCTTAATTTGCTAGACGGAAGATGAGACGATTTACAAAGTGCTTCTTTTAGATATACCGCAGTCATACGGAAACGTTTAAATTGATATTATATAATCTGCTGAAAACATATCTACTTCTATGTGTAATCACAGTTATGTGTTTTTACGCTGACAAGGTGAACGTCTTCAAACAATATAAAGGTTTACCCATTATGAAACATTATAAAATAAATTTGTAGACATTCTTATGGAATTTGCGCTTTGCTGAACCCGTGTGTAGAACAGGTGCGCTTAGAATGCCAATGTGTACAGGGACACATTTCTATTGTTGTCTATATTTAGACTCAAACAATCTTTACGACATATACAGAGGAATTGCAGATCATTTAAAATGTCTTATTTTAAACCAGCATGATTGGTAACATGATGTTATGGAAAACTGTACTTTGTACTTTTCAAGTTGGCATCAACTGACCCTTCATAACGACACTGTATAATGCTCTTGGGACGTAGTTTTCATCGGAAATTCTTCAGTTACATGTATGTAGCTTAGCGAATATATAATGATGAAATACATAGGAAATATTTGTCTAAAATGGCTATATAAAAACGAAACCGAAAATTCAAGCCAATCATAGCCAATATGTTGTTTTTCTCTAGATATAAAGGTAGAGGAATATTGAGTCGGTAACAAGTGGTGGCGCTTTCTTTGAATGCATTCAATTCTACCGCGGAGCGTAACAAGAGCTTGGAGTAAATGGACAGTATTTTCGTAATAAACGCTAAGTATGGCAACAAAATTGAACAATACTCATAATTTTGCTGATACGTTAAATATTTTCAGTTTAAAATATGACTCGACTCTTCACTAATCTTAAGATTCCGCAATGTTACTATCTGCTATTTCTTAATTACAATTTCACGAGCTGCCAGTATATCAATAAACTAAAATCAATATTTACAAAGATTGAAGACTTGCGGTACTTCCAGATTTTCCTATTTACCTTTATGACACGTGTAAGGAAAAGCTCCGGGGTGTTTAACGAGCCACTGACATCGCTATGTAGCGAGCCTTTACTAACGCCATACAATACTGCGCTTTGATAACCCCGTGAAATTATTGCATTAAATACACAAACCGTCCACATTCCGCGCATAAATGCCTATGATGCTGAAGTTCGTAAACACAATTCGTATGCGCTTTACAGTGCATCAAAGGAATTCAAATTTCCTGTGGAAATATCAGCCTGATTTACGTGCTCTTCATTAGGGTGAAACCGTTTAATTTTCACAACACCCTAACATTTCTCCGATCAAATATATCAAAAAATAAAAAATATATTTAATAGTGTTTTTTTCTTTAATAAAATAATATTAATGATAGAAGAAAGAGGTTCATGAAGCATCTCGTACATGGGTTGTATGTTATTTTTAAACAGGGTAATACGCAATCGCAACTGACTCATTGACAATAAAACTGACTCATTGACAATAAAATGATGCAGTTAATACAATTGAATATAAAGTAGAAATATTTAAAAAATAAAATCAATTGTTATTTGACTTGGAGTTCTTTATAATCGTCCCTTTGACTGGTTGATATGTACGTTTTTATATTGGCTTTATTAGTTTTAAAAGAAATGATACACAAGTGTCTACACATACCAGTGTAGTTTCACGTTGACACAGACAGTTTATTATATCGTAACAGTCTGTATATAAACTTTGCTGTTGACTCGAGAAGTAAGGTGAATCTTCATTCTGATATCTGATTTTGGTTTAATTTTATGCGGACACCGGACGTTCTGTATGTCTTGTTTTACACGCTGCAAATGAGGATCGGCGACATTGTGACAGGTGTTTACTTGGTCATGCAGCAGACGTAAAGCTCTAACCGTCCAAATTATTATTTTGATTTTGATTTTGAAGTTCAGTTCAAATGTTTTAACAAAAGTTGTATGTATAAGTAGATAAATATAAGCTGGCATTTGTACATGACACCAAAGATTATACAATAACTAAAGCTCTTAGTTCTTGCTCAACAACGTCATGACCTAAATTTAACAGCGTGAATATTTGTCACAAGGGAAAGACACATTAAAACATGGACGATTCTGTGTAGATGATCGAGTCTAACCGGAAGGCTTCATACCTTGTAATCCACGATTTACTAACTTATTTAAACGGTACGGTGCCATGATAGAGGGAATTATTTAAAGCATGCAGCATCTTGTTTCGTAAATATTGAATGTGGTTGCAATTATGCATAACATTTGGAATTCGTACTTTTCAGTCAACGAATTCATTCAGATATATGCAGACAGAATGTGTTCAAGATTACACGAAAAAATGCAGCTTTTTATGTCCAATTTTCTTGTACTACAAAAGGAAAATTTTGATCATAAGCCAAAATATACGCCTCTTTCCCTATCGGTCAAACGGTTAAAACGCTCAGACTGTAAGTGACGTCACTCTATAAATAAGATCTTTAACAGGACGTATGGAGAGGAATAATCACTAATTACAAGGGATACACATTACACTCGAGTACTAAACTATTTGTCAGCAAATATCCTGCCTGTGTTATAAAGATCAGCAATGAAATTGAGGTGAATAGTGTCGACGGCTGCTGACACAGTGAAAAACATTACTGGGGTGAATAGTGTCGACGTCTGCTGACAGTGAAGAACATAACTGGTGTGAAAAGTGTCGACGTCTGCTGATACAGTGAAGAACATTACTGGGGTGAATAGTGTCGACGGCTGCTGACAGCGAAGAACATTACTGGGGTGAATAGTATCGACGGCTGCTGACAATGAAGAATATGACTGGGGTGAATAGTCTCGACGTCTGCTGACAATGAAGAACATTACTGGGTTGAAAGAACATGACTGGGGTGAATAGTATCGACGGCTGCTGACAGTGAAGAACATTACTGGGGTGAATAATATCGACGTCTTCAGACAGTGACGAACATGACTGGGGTGAATAGTGTCGACGGCTGCTGACAGTGAAAAACATTACTGGGGTGAATAGTGTCGACATCTGCTGACAGAGAAGAACATGGCTGGGGTGAATAGTGTCGACGTCTGCTGGCAAGGAAGAACATTACTGGGGTGAATAGTGTCGACGGCTGCTGACAGTGAAGAACATTACTGGGGTGAATAGTGTCGACATCTGCTGACAGAGAAGAACATGACTGGGGTGAATAGTGTCGGCGGCTGCTGACAGTGAAAAACATTACTGGGGGGAATAGTGTCGACCTCTGCTGACAGAGAAGAACATGGCTGGGGTGAATAGTGTCGACGTCTGCTGACACAGTGAAGAACATTACTGAGGTGAAAGAACATGACTGGGGTGAATAGTGTCGGCGGCTGCTGATACAGTGAAGAACATTACTGGGGTGTATAGAGTCGACGTCTGCTGACAGTGAAGAACATTACTATCGACGGCTGCTGACAGTGAAGAACATGACTGGGGCGAATAGTGTCGACGTCTGCTGACAGTGAAGAACATGACTGGGGTGAATAGTTTCGACGTCACCTGACAGTGAAGAACATTACTGGGGTGAATAGTATCGACGTCTGCTGACAGTGAAGAACATGACTGGGGTGAATAGTGTCGACGGCTGCTGACAGTGAAGAACATGACTGGGGGGAATAGTGTCGACGGCTGCTGACAGTGAAGAACATTACTGGGGCGTATAGTGTCGACGTCTGCTGACAGTGAAGAACATAACTGGTGGGAAAAGTGTCGACGTCTGCTGATACAGTGAAGAACATTACTGGGGTGAATAGTGTCGACGGCTGCTGACAGCGAAGAACATTACTGGGGTGAATAGTATCGACGGCTGCTGACAGTGAAGAACATGACTGGGGGGAATAGTGTCGACGGCTGCTGACAGTGAAGAACATTACTGGGGTGAATAGTGTCGACGTCTGCTGACACAGTGAAGAACATTACTGGGGTGAAAGAACATGACTGGGGTGAATATTGTCGACGTCTGCTGACAGTGAAGAACATGACTGGGGTGAATAGTGTCGACGTCTGCTGACAGTGAAGAACATAACTGGGGTGAATGGAATCGACGGCTGCTGACAGTGAAGAACATGACTGGGGTGAAAGAACATGACTGGGGTGAATAATGTCGACGGCTAAGTGAAGAAAATTACTGGGGTGAATAGTGTCGACGGCTGCTGACAGTGAAGACCATTACTGGGGTGAAAAAACATGACTGGGGCGAATAGTGTCGACGGCTGCTGACAGTGAAGAACATTACTGGGGTGAATAGTGTCGACGGCTGCTGACAGTGAAGAACATTACAGGGGTGAATAGAGTTGACGGCTGCTGACAATGAAGAACATTACAGGGGTGAAAGAACATGACTGGGGTGAATAGTGTCGACGTCTGCTGACAGTGAAGAACATGACTGGGGTGAAAAGTGTCGACGTCTGCTGACACAGTGAAGAACATTACTGGGGTGAAAGAACATGACCGGGATGAATAGTGTCGACGTCTGCTGACAGTGAAGAACATTACTGGGGTGAATAGTGTCGACGTCTGCTGACAGTGAAGAACATTACTGGGGGGAATAGTGTCGACGGCTGCTGACAGTGAAGAACATGACTGGGGTGAAAAGTGTCGTCTTCTGCTGACAGTGAAGAACATTACTGGGGTGAGAAGTGTCGAATTCTGCTGACAGTGAAAAACATTACTGGGGTGAATAGTGTCGACGTCTGCTGACAGTGAAGAACATTA